AAAAAAAAAAAACAAAACAACTTAATGATAGGTTCAGTATGTAGTTAAGCAATATATTGTATAGAAACAAGCAGAAGATAATCATGTAATTTATTGTACTAATAGTCTTCAATCAAATGTTGTCAGAGATAAGATAAATTATATGGCTTTAATGCGTGCCTGTGCTGTTTGGTTTGTGGCAGGAAGTTTAAGGCTAGCCACTGGTAATCAACACTTTCTACAACAGGGTCTAATGACCTAGTCAAACCCCAGAGTTTCTTACTCCCCAGAGGATCCTTATGGTTGGTCAAACCCAGTGAAGATTATGAGAAAAATCTACTAGTCTGTTAGTGATTTTTTTAAAAAGAGAAAGATAGAAATTAAAGATACAGTGGTTTTCCTGGAGACACTTTGATAGACTTATTTATTTGAACTGTATGCTCAATGTCCATGCCTGCTCAGTGCTTGTTTGCAGGTATGATGTGACATTTATACTCACTTTATGATAGTGCTGGGTAAATAAGAGTTAGAGTTAAGCTTTTTATCCTTGGGTTTCTAATAGCTACTGCCAGGTGAGCCTTATATGCTAAGATTATCTGAAGATAAGGCTGCAGCTTATTGGCTCAAAGTTCAAAGGAGAGCATTGCTTCAAGGACATAAATCACTGGGCCTGTTATCTGCTAATTTGTAACAGAACAGCTGGGGAACAGCATTTATCTAGACAATCTAGTATCTTCCTGCAGTTGAGATTGAGGTCAGCTCCACAGGGCTTAGGCCTGTCCTCTGTGTTCTGCGAGAAAAAGTTCAGATGTGTTGTTTTCCCTCTAGTTTGAAGTAGCAGGTGATTCGCTGTCTTTTCTGAAGCTGCTACTTATTTTGTCCATTCCTGAAGCCAGTATAACTATGAAGTCAACAGAGTTGAATCCCGCTGTTAGCTCTATGGGTTCCAGGTATAAATAGTATTTTAAAATTGTAATGGCAACACTTACAAGGTCACTTACGTAAAGGGCCCATTAGGTAAAGTAGTTGACTGACCTAGTGACATCCTGGTTTAAATCAGCCTAATTCCATGAGATTCTTACCTTATAGGTAAGGTTGTCTGAACAAATAAACAGCAAAAATACAACAGAACAAAATAAACCCACTGTTGCTGCTTGGTCAGTGACCCAGCATTCATTACCTCTGCACCACAGTGTCAGCTATCTAGGCAGGAAATATTTGATTATATGTGTTTATTTTGCTTTGCAATACTGGCATAGACTGCTTTTGAGGAAGAATCACAGGTATAAAGTGATATAAAATGTTTAAGAATGTTCACATCTGTTAAAGGATAGGCCTTTTAAATTTTATATTGATTTTATTTATTTTATGTATATATGCTTATAAGCATTTTACTTGCCTGTGTGTATGTTCACCGTGTGCATGTCTGGTGCCCACAAAGGTCAAAAGAGGGCATCAGATTCCCTAGGACTAGAGTTATAGACAGTTGTGAGGCACCATGTGGGTGCTGGGAATTGAACATGTGTCCCCTGCAAGAATTCAAATCTGAGCCATCTTTCCATTTTTAAGGGTACAGGTCTGCTGACTCTTTCCTGCCCTCTCTCCCCAGTAGCTCTCTTGTTGAATTGTGAAGCATCTCTGTGGTTTGATTCACCTTTCCTAATGAGTATGATGAGTATCTTCCATGTGCTTAGTAGCAGTTTTGTTTCTTCTTTGCAGAAATATTTTAAGTCCTTCACCTATTTTAAAATTGAGTTGTGTATATTTTTGGCAGTTTAATTGCAAGGCTCATTTATGGCTTCTAGCTTTCTATTGTTTCTATGAAATTCTGTATTATAGGTTCCTTTTGCTCTTGTGATGGTGTTCATTGATGCACAAAGCCTTAAGTTTATGTGAAGTCCACTTTTTTTTTGCCTGAACTTTAAAAAAAAATGTAGTTTGCATCTTATTTACATCTCTGTGATATAAAATCATCTCCAAAATCTTACAAGATCTTGTACTCATATTCCATCATAGTTTTGTTTACTTACTAATCTTTACATTGTTGAGTAGCAGTCCTCAACCAGAGCAATCAGTCCATATGTTTGCTGGTGGTTGGTTAACTTGTCCTTGGGTTTTGTTTTGTTTTGTTTTTTGGTTCTGGGTTTTGTTTTGTTTTGTTTTGTTTTGTTTCGTTTTGTTTTGTGTGTGTGTGTCTGCCCAGGCACTTTTCTTCATTTGCTTCTCACCAGATATAGTCTCCTGCAGATCATCTGTTTTCTCAGCACTTTTCTTTCTAAAACATCAGTGATGGGCTAGAGAGATGGCCACAGCTGCTTTTCCAGAGAGCCTGGTTCAATACTCAGCATTCACATTATTCAGCATTTGAAATTCCCAGCATTCACAAATATCTGTAACTCCAGACCCAGAGGACTCGACTACCTCTTTTTGCCTGAACTTTTGTTCAATACAAGAAGTTGTCGTTATCAAATTGTCATATTTTTCTCATTATGTTTCCTTCTTAGAGTTTTATAGTTTCAGCTCTCAGGGCTGTCGTTGATGATTTTGTCTTTCATTATAGCATGAACTTCATTTGTTTTGCATAAGCAATGTCCCTGATGCTGTTTGCTGAGAAAACTTTGATACGAATTTCTTTCTCTGATATTTGTTGAGTAAACTTCAGCGTTACTAACTCTCACAGCTGTAGTGTATGAAGTCCAGGTGATCTTTGCTGCCACCACTGCTCATGCTCGCTTCCCCTCTGAGGAATCAGAAGGAGGACTCGGTGGAGCTGTTTGCTGACAGTACAACCAATTATTGTGTCTCAGATCCTTTTAGATTTAGTAGTTAGCTTTGCTTGTTGAAACTCAGAAGCATTATGATGCTTTTCTTATGTTTTAAATGACAGCCCTGTTATACATCTGAAATTTTCTTTTTAACTCTTTAACTTCTCTAGACGTTAGGTTATTTTTCTGTGAAATGAAATATTCTATTGTATATCTTTTACTGTGAATGATTTCAATATACTTATATGTCTTTTGCCAATTAATAAATATTCAGCAGACAGCAGAAACTCTGTCTTTTTCAAGGAATACATTAAAATTAACATAGCAAAATATGTTTTCTGTACAACTGTGTAGCTGGGACCTTTTCTCCATATACCAACAAGAGTTTTAACTATAAATTTTCTAATTCTCTTTTAATAATAAAAGTTCTTAATTTCTAAATGTTAATATAATTTATAGTGTGTGTATTGCTGTCTTTTTAATGCTTTAAGGAGAATGAGCATAACTTAATATACATTAAATTTGTATACAAAAGAAGAGGCCCATCTGGAATCAGATGAAAAAGTGTGAAGATGCCTTCCCAAGAGAGAAGGAATTCTCAGACTTAGAAAGGGGACTTTTTGGGGTGCTTCCTCTGAGTTCCTCTCTGCTCAACAGGGCCATGATTATATGCTGTGTGTGCCTATTTGTGGTTTGTCTTTTCACTTATGGCATATAATTGTATGATTATATAAATTCATATATTAGTAGGTACATAAAATACCTATGAGTAGTTATTACCTGTTTTAATTTCATAAAATTTTGTTACTGATGTTTTTCTTTTGTCTTAATAACATATATGAATAAAATGTTAATATTTATTGAGTATAATATATGTTTATTTCAGTTTGGTTTTGTTTTCTCACATGGAACTTGGAAGAGATGGTTAACACATAGGCTGTGAGATGGAGCTTTTTATAACTTTTCAACTTTGCAGTATCCGAATGTATTATAGTTATTAAATATTTAGCACTTAACCTATTTCTGATAAATTGAAGTGATACATTTTAAAACGTTTTTATTTAGAATCTTCACAATCTAGTATTCAAATCATAGTCATCATGTTAATTTTGTTCATGGTTAAGGAATTTGAGTTACACTGCCTTTTTGAGCAGCAGTACTTAACATAAAGCTGAAATAGTTAATAAGTCTGGCACACAATAGCAAGATTTGGAAATGTATTTTTGACAGGGAATGCCTTTGGCAAAGGAACTATAAATGTGTCTCCTTTGGATCTAGAGTTAAAACTCAGAGATAAAATAAGAAACGATGTGCTCATGGGATCTAATGGGAAATGATTACATTAGTAGCAGATGGACTTGGTTCCTGAATTGCATCTCAGTGGAATTCTTTTATCAGCTTAACTTTATTTTCAAGATTTAGAATCTGATAAGAGGATAGAGACTTACTTACTTGGTTGTCCTCCTGTGGTTCTTACTGTGTCTCTTGGATGTTTCATCTGCACTAGGCTATTTTTATGATTCCCACAAACCCTCCACCAACGTTCAGGAAGCCGGAGCTCTGGTCCGATGACTTCACCGATTTTGTCAAGAAGTGCTTAGTGAAGAGTCCTGAGCAGAGAGCCACTGCAACACAACTGTTACAGGTCAGTGCCTACAAAGGACACCTTCTCCTTCTTGCAGCTTCCTGAGTCCTGTGACTGCGCTTAAGATTTGAGCTGTGGATTGGGACACATGCACTCAACTCCTCTGCATTTTCCCTTACCTTACATCAATTCCCCTGTCCATTTTCTTTTGAGTTCTGGTTTCTGTGGGTTTTATTTCTCGAGCTTTTCCTTGTGCCCTTGACTCAGCTTTTCTCCCTTGACCTTTTGCTCTACTATAAGACATGTAAATATAGGTAAATCCAAGGTCCCTGAACTCCTTGAAAAGATTATTCCATGTTATAAATACTAGTTACAAGATTCCCTGAGTGAGGTATTTTATAGTATACCTACTGTAAATAAACTTTGCATCTAGAGCACCACGAGGCTTTTTTAAATAAATGTTTGAAATTTAAAGCAAAAACAAATAACTTTACTTGAAACAAAAAAAAAAAAGTTTGTCAAGTAATAAGTGTGCCTGAGCCCGTGCATCAGTGTGTCTGTCGACAGTGTACCTCACTGTGTGTCTCTCACTAACAAATGTGATAATTTTCAGATAGTTCTTACTGTTAAGTACAAAAAAATTCTAGCCACAGTTCTTGTAAAAAATTTTTTCTTAAGCTACCATTAAAAAATAAAATAAAAGCCAGGTGTGTGACGCACAGCATTTATCCCAGCAATCAGTGAGGCAGAGACAGTGAATGGAGCTCTGTGAATTCGAGACCAGTCTGGTCTATGAAGGAAGCCCAGGACTGCCAGGTATACTCAGAAAAACTCTGTCTCAAAAAATAAAAACACTCAGGATGATCTTTTCTAGTTGCATTCATTTGCCTGCAAATTTCATGATTTCCTTATTTTTAATAGCTGAGTAGTATTCTATTATATAAATGTATCACAATATCTGTATCCATTTTTAGTTTAGGGGCATTTAGGTTGTTTCCAGATTCTGGTGATTACGAATAAAGCTGATATGAACATAGTTGAACAAATGTACTTATTATATGATGGAACATCTTTTGAGTATGCCCAGGAGTGGTATAGCTGGGTCTTGAGGTAATGCCATTCCCAGTTTTCTGAGAAAGCGCCAGATTGATTTCCAAAGAGGTTGTGCAAATTTACATTCCCACCAGCAATGGAGGAGGGTTCCCCTTTCTCCACATCCTCTCCAGCATGTCTTGTCACTTGATTTTTTTATTTTAGCCATTCTGATGGGTGTAAGATGGGATCTTAGAATCATTTTGATTTGTATTTCCCTGATGACTAAGAAATTGAACATTTCTTTAATTGTTTCTCCACCATTCGATATTCTTCTGTTTGGAATTCTGTTTAGCTCTGTACCCCATTTTTAAACTGGATTATTTGGTGTTTAGTTTCTTGAGTTCTTTATATATTCTGGATGTAAGGTTGGTGAAGATCTTTTCCCAATCTGTAACCCAGAACCAGAAAGACACTCGTATACTCACTTATAAATGTTTATTAGCCATATAATACAGGATAAACAAACTAAAATCTACAAACCTAAAGAAGCTAAACAAGGAGGATCCTAGGGAGGATGCTTAATTCTTATACAAACAGCAAACAGAATAGACACTGGAAGCGCCCGTAGAGTGGGAACAGGATGGAGCCTGCCATAGATGTCCTCTTAAAGACTCTACCCAGCAGTGGATGAAGCAGATGCAGAGACTCACAGCCAAACTTTGGGTTGTCTTATGGAATAAGGGCAGATAAAAGTACCCAGAGTAGACAGAACCTCCACAAAGAGACCAACAAAGCCAAAAAATCTAGGCCCAGGGCAGACTCAGAGACTAATGCATCAACCAAGGAGCATGCATGGAGAAGACCTAGAGCCCCTGCTCAGACCCCCTGAGCTGCCAGTTTCATGTGAGTCGCCATGTGAGTTCCTGAGTAAGGGGAGCAGGGGCTGTTTCTGACATGAACTTGGTTTCCTGCTCTTGGATCACTTCCACTTGGCAGGGGACCTTGCCAGCCCACAGAGGAAGACTATATAGGCAGTCCTGATAAAACTTGATAAAGTAGGGTTAGATAGTATGGAGGAGGGTTCCCCCTTATAGTGGACTAGGGGAGGGGGACTGGGAAAAGAGGAAGGAGGGTGAGACCAAAAGGAGGTGAGTGAAGGGACTATACTCTTTATATACTCTTTATATAGTGCATATAAAGTATATATACTACTTTATATAAAGTAAATAAATTGTAAAAAATGAAAAAAATTAAAGTAAATATCAAGATCATGAAAATAAATCATTATGATATGTTTTAGTAAAAGAGAGAAAGAGAGAGATGAAATGAAATTGACTGAAGACTCCATGAAAAAGTCCATAATGTTTTTTTCTTTGTTTGTTTTAATTATACATAGGGCTCATTCTTTATGGTGTCAAGATAGCAGTATATTTCTTCTAAATCTGTGTAATTTTTGCCCCAGCAATGAAATTTTACAGTTTATTCTAAACATTACTCATTACATATGAATATGGTCCATCAGGAGACATTACTAGAAAATACATCTGCTCACACACGGGTGCTATAAGGGAACATCTTCAGGAAACTAGTTTCCAGTGCCTGCTTGGCAGTTTATTGCAAGGGGAAGAGGCAGGAATGGGATGCAGGTTTATTTGAGTTTTGAGTTATATACAGGTATTATTTTAAAAATTAATTTGTTAATGTTTGAGATGGCAAATTTGTGATGTAAGGGCACCTGCTGCCCAAGTCTGACAGCTGTTTTGGATCCTTGGGACCTCATGGTGGAAGAAGAGAATAGATGACCTCAGTTTGTTCTGTGGCCTCACTGTATTTGCCATGGCACACTCATGTACATGACCCCCCTCATAAGTAAATGTATTTTAAAAATTAAAAGAAGAGGGTGGTGAGATGGTCAGCCTGATGACATGATTTCATCTCCTGAGACCCACATGGTAGAAAGAGAAGACCGATTCTCATAAGTGGTCCCCTGATATCCACACACCTCACATTCAGTAAAAAAAAGTGATGAAAGAAAATAGTTTCAAATTAAAAGTATGTTAAGAGTTGGCAAACTTTGTTGGTATTTTTCCATAATAAATAATGAAAAACAATTTGTTAAAGCTTTTATTTTTAAAGGTTATCACTCTTTAAGAGAATATTAAGCAAAGAAATCAAGACCTTCTTAGTGTCACTGTCATAATGAACATGTAAATGATTCAACTCCAAAGAAACAGTAGAGAAGAAAGGTCTTTTAAAGAAAATAGGGAAAAAAAACAAATGCCATAAAATCTCATAGTGAAAACAATGTGTCTGGGGACTGATTTTTTTTTCAGACAAAATTACTATTTTTAGCTTTTTTTTTTTTTCTGTGATAAAAGTCTTTTTGTTTTGTTTTAAGTTAGGAAGGATGAAAGCATTTAAAATATGTCAGTGTAATTCCTTATTTTTGTGGAGATGGGTATTGTAGCCCAGAAAATTAAATGACTCACTGATGATTCTAGATAGATTCCATTTGTCCCAGCCACATCCTTTAAAAATATTTTAATCAATTTTATTTATTTATGCCTGGGTGGGGATATATGTAGGCCTCAGCACATGTGTGGAAGTCAGAGGACAAATTGTGGGGACTAGTGGGTTCCTGGTTCAAACTCAGATCTTTGGGCTTGGTGGCAAGTCCCTTTACCCACTAAGCCTTACTGCCAGGCCTGAGAGCTCTTTGTTTCTTGAGAAACAAAGAATGCTAGATAAACTGAGTCAGCTGGGCTGGAACATTAGCTCCCACGGCGTCTGACTTATTCTTACCAGTTCAGGTAAAATATAGAAGCAACTTTACCTTCCTCTCTGACCCTTCATTATGTTATAATTGCCTTAAATATTTCCTCTTTGTAGTTGAGAGACACATCAATTATATAATATTTGCTTTAAACATAAAACACAATTGAGGAAACTCAAGAAAAGTGGAGTTTATTGTACTTACCCTATTTCTGTTCTTTCTGTGGTGTGTCTTTCTGATGCCCCGTGGTTCCATACATCATTTCTCTTGTTTACAGAACTATTTTAACCACATTCTTAGAAGTTTGTGATATTTTTCTTAGTATTATGCGTTGCCAGTTCATTTTCTTGCATCACTTGAAGATATGTAGCTGGAGAACCCACTTGTTCTTGTTGGAGGAGAATCACAGCAACATCTCTGGATTCCAGTTTCTTAGGAAAAATCTCATTTGGATTGCTTACTCCTTGCTCTCTTTTTTTGAATGGAGTTGGTATAGCTTCTAGACCCTATTACTTTAAGGTTCCCCACCCCCAAATTATGGAAGTTTTTTTCTAATACGTTTTCAGCCTCATCTTGTTTTGTATTTATTGACACAGCATCAGATCCGATGTTTCAGTCCTGCAAATCCCCTAGGCTAGGTTATTATACTCTCTTTTCTAAACTCCACGTTATTCCTTGTTTCACCTTCAGATCATGGGTTCTTTTGTCTTGATTTTGCTTTTCAGCCTATTGAGCTAGTTTTTTTTTTTTTCCCAGTTACCATATTTCTCAGTTGTAAACTTTGCCATGTATCCTTTTTATGTCTTTTGCGTAAGACATTCTGATTTTTCTTTCATTTACAAGCATGTTGCTCTATGCTTTTGTAATGTTTATGTCATATTACTGTTAGGATCTGTTGATTGCCTTTTTCCTACTTAAATTGCAATTTTTCTTGATCAGAGATTTTTCAGATCAAAACTGGGCATGTCGAGTATCATGCTATTGGACTTCAGATTCTGTCTATTTATCATCTGTCTGTCTGTCTGCCTGCCTGCCTGTCTGTCTGTCTAGCTATCATCTACCTAATAATTATCTGTGTTTCTATATCTGTCAGCTAGTCAGCTAGCTATTATCTATCCATCCACCCATCCATCTATCCATCAATTCATCCATGTATTCTGTCAATCATATAGCTAGCTATCATCTACCTACCTATTTATCATCTATCATCTATGTATTATGATAGATATTATGTATCTATCATCTATTAATC